TCTCTCTCTCTCTCTCTCTCTCTCTGGTTCTTTCAATTTTCTCCTCTGCTCCCTCTCTTTCTCGCATTAGTTATAGGCTCATTTGTTAATTAATGTGTGTGTGCGTGTGTGTGTGTTAAGAGACAGAGAGGTGGGGAGGGGGGCAGAAAAGAAAATTGATTTGTTTTTAAAGTGAGTATTTTCTGTTTTCAACTGTCTACTCGATAACTAAACGCCTTTACATTCTTTGAATAGCATTCTACATTGCAGTCGCAGTATATTCATTCCTTATAACTTATTGACCTTTCCAAATCTTGATTCTGAATTGTCACCTCTCTGTTCCAACCAATATGTTTGGCAATTTGACTTCGTTTTGTTTTGGGCTTTTCGTTCTTTTTTAAAAGTTTGTGTGTGTGTGGGGGGGGGGGGGTATGAAAATGTCCGAACCAGCATCATATTTTTATCCTTTTTACCTTTATTTCAGGTGTTCTCCTCTCTTCACGTATACCTTTTTGTCTCTTTGAGATTTTGCCCCTAAATTATTTTTTGTCCAAATTTGTTTTGTTTTATGTCATTTGGCGTACTTCCCATTTTTTTGCTTTTGTATTATTTTTTTTTTCAAATTGTTTCCCTAAGATTGAGCTTCATCCCTTGCCTCATTGTGTCCACTAAAAGATGTGAAACGTGTCCTAATCTTACTACACGACATGTGCACGTTCCTTAGTGGGGGTTCCCAGTTAAAATTTAAATCATTGCCCAAATATTCACTTACCAGTGTGGGTGGTTGGCGGGTGCTCTGGTGTGGTTTGCTCCTTCTTTCCTCTTAAACATCTATCGTCCCATTCTCTCCTCCTTCCTTTTTTATGTTTGTTACTCTCTTGTAACACCTCTAATCTTCGGCACTTATATGACCTTATTGTGTTGCAAGTGCCGTAAAACTCTTTACTAAACTAAACTTACCAGTGTGTACTCTGAAACCGTTTTTAAAAAAATAACTTGTACAAATTTCACTTTCTCAGGCGTGTCCTTGTCTTATTTTAACTGAACTGTAAAATAAAATTTGAAAAAACTTCCAGTCTTTAAAATTACCTTTCATCAGGTCCAGAAAGAGTGTACTAATGTCATGCCCTCTAGCATTCGCCTCCTTTATTTCTACCTTTTTAAAGAATGTTGCCCAAAATTCCTCTCCCAAAACCTTTATGCTTCAGCTCTCATATGACCAGTGTCTGTGGTGTAGCGAGTAGATCCTTCGACGTCGCGGACAGAAAAGCTCAGTTCAATTCCTTTGTGAAAAAAAGGATTGGGGGGGGGGGGGGGGTCCACGTATCTCGTTCTTTCTACTTCTACAAGGACAGTATATCCCTCTCAGTTGAGGTTGACTCTGATCGACTGGCAAGGTCGAAGCCTGCCTCCCAAAAAATGATCTGCATTATGACGATGGTCGTAGCATTGAAACACCCTCATTAAAATTTGAAACAAAAAATTACGATTTGTCCAAATTCCAATTCCTTCTGAAAACTAATAATTGTTTCTCAAATCTTAACTGTTCAATAAAAGAAGAATACCAAGTCCCACCGTGTGTGCTTCCCGTATTTTACCTTTTTTAAAAGACTGTTGCCCAAATGCACTCACTTCCCAACGCCCATACCTAATTTATAACGCCTTTTTGACAAATTTTTGCCCAACTTTTCTTGCTTCTTAATACATTAGTCGTCTTATTTTTAACGTTGTATTCCAAATGTACACTTCCAAACTTAAGTTTGTCTATTCGCGATTCTGGACTTTGATTTTCAACTTGTAGGTCTATACTTGACTGATTTGATCCTTTTACTACATCTTTTGCTTAAACTGTTGTTCTATTGTTTTAATTATTCTATCATTTTAGGTTTGATCCACTTTCCAGAACCAACATATTTTGTTTATTTTGTCTTTAATGTTCATAGTACAATTTACTGGCCATTATTTTGGGTTCAAATTTGGTCTACATCCTAAGTCCAGATATTCACTCTTTAAAATGTGTACTATTTCGTCTTTTAGTGCTTTTAGTTTGACTTTTCACTTAACAGTACATGAAGTTATTTTAAAATTTCTCTGGGAGTTCCACGTTTGACATAACGGCTTTTATCATCCACGTGCTCATTTCCTAAGTCTTATACGCGTATTATTATATTTTCTCTTCCAC